TGATGATGATGACGATGATGATGAAGACGATGATGACGACGATGATGATGAAAACGATCATGACAAACAAATATTTATTTATTCATTTATAAAGCAATGAAAAGTTATTTAATTTATTTTCCTTCGCAATTTGCAGCCATAGATTTAAAGAAGGTTTCTTCTATCTTCTTTAAAAACGGTTTTCAAGTTTTCAATTATTATTTCTCTCTCTCTCCCTCTCTCTCTCTTTCTCTATATCTCTCTGTCTCTTTCTCTCTCTCTTTCTCAATAACCAATAACAATAATAATAATAACAAAAGCAATAGTTGAAAGAACTACTTTATATATATATATATATAAAGTTGTTAAATAAATAAATAAATATATATATAATATATATTCTTTATATATATATATATATATATATATATATATATATATATATATATATATATATATATATATTCATGTATTCATTCATTTGTTTATTTGTTCATTCATCAGTCAGGCGGTCCATCCATCAATCCATTCTGAATCCATCCAATCAAACAGCTCTTATTCAGCGCGTCAAGAAAATAAATTATCTTAAATCTTCTCCATCCACATTTGCTCTTTTTCAGGAAAGTCCGTCGCGAACATTAATTATTCCAGGAAAGACCGTCCAACGACGCCTACATTAAACGCCTAAGTCTACGGACGTGCAGTTTATTTTCTAATTATAAAAAAGAATAATATCGATAATAATTCTTTGTTGCTCTTCAGCATTTGGCCAACGTAAATTTTTCGTCTATTGTCGAATGCTGACGTCATTTCGTTGTTGTTGTCATTGTTATTATTATTATTATTATCATTATTATTATTATCATTATAATTATTATTATTATTTGTAGTAGTGTTATTAACTATATTGTTATCAGGCCATCTCCAATGTTTCTATGCTATCATTTTAATTCCTTCTAACCTCAAAATCAACACCGTCACTGACCATATGCAACCATCATAACAGCAACAACAACAATAATAATAATAATGAATAATAATAATAATAATAATGAATAATAGTAATAATAATAATAGTGGCGATCGCCATCACCATCATCATCATCGTCTGCGTCAGCATCAAAATGATGAATCGTGTAATGCGTTATTCGCTTTGCTGCATTTCTATATTGAAAAAAAAGTTAAACACGGCTGTGAGATGCTGCCACAAGAATGAGGTGGAGCGAATGAAGGAGGATAGAGGAGTTAGAAATAATGAAAGAGAGAGAGAGAGAGAGAATAAAGAATGAAAGAGAGAGAGAGAGAGAGAGAGAGAGAGAGTATAGGAGAGAGGGAGCAAATATGACAGAAACACATCAAATTAAAAAACAAAAAAGACAGAGTGAGAAAGATAAAATAATTGATAAAATTTGATAAAAATCTATCTAATATAAAAACGAGAGAGAGAGAGAGAGAGAGAGAAAGAAAGAGAGATAAGGAAGAAGAAATTAAATGAGAAAAGTGGAGATACATTTAATGAAGAAACGAACGAGAGAGAGAGAGAAAGAGAGAGAGAGAGAGAGAGAGAGAGAGAGAGAATTCATATGCACATGTAGCCAGGATGAAATGAAAAATGCTACACGGAATTCAGATAAAGAGAGTGCGAAAGTGTGGTAGAGAGAAAAATGAAAAAAAATCCTGAGAAAGAAAGCGTCAGTAAAAGGAATGTATATCTAAAGTGACATACATACATTCATACATACATACAAACATACAAACAAACCTTCCCTTGGCTACCACTCTTGGGTACAGCAGGGTGATCCCCTTGGTCCTTTGCTGTTCGCACTAACTCTTCATCCACTCTTAGAGAAAGCTTCGTCCACTTTCGTTTGCGCTTATCTGGATGATATCAGCATTGCTTCGGACGGCCCAACTCTGGCCGATAGCTACGAATATTTGAAGCATAACTCCGCTGCAATTGGTTTAGAGCTAAACATTAAAAAATGCGAACTTCACTGCCAAAGTTTATTTCAGGTGCCACATGCGCTGGCTGGAATACCCAGAGTTGGTGCATCAGAACTGAGTTTTTTAGGCACACCCTTGGTCGAGGGCGATTATCAAATAAAGTTTTTTGACTAAAAGCTCTCTGAGCTTAAATTCACCCTGGGTCGTGTTTCCTGTCTTTCGGCCCATGATGCCTTGACTATTATTTGCAATGCCCTCAGTTTGCCCATATTGATGTACTTCCTGCGTACATCCAAACACATTGACCCTTCTAAATTGGGCGAATTTGACGGAGCCCTGCGCACCGCCCTGTCGTCGATTTGCAATGTTCAAGTGACCGACAGTGGTTGGTCCCAGGCTCAGCTGCCGGTGCGATTTGGTGGGCTGGGGTTGCTTAGCGTGGTTCAGCTGGCTCCCGTTGTTTATAATTCTTCTGCCGCTGCCACTCTTGACCTGCAGTCTTCCCTGCTTCACCGGTTTTTTCGTTGCCGCGACTTTCTTCCCCCAGTGTCCGCCCCGGGGGACCGTACGCACGTCCAAATTTTGAACGAAGAATATAAAAAAATCTTTCAAAATTTGTTGTCTTCATGCGGCGACGACTTTTCCACCGCTCGTTTGTTGGCCATGTCCAGCGTTGCCAGCTGTGGGTGGTTGAGATCGTGGCCCAACACCTCTGTGGGCACCAGGCTTGACGACGAGTCTGTGAGATTTGCCATTGGCTTCAGACTTGGCCTGGTCATTCAGAATAAATACACGTGCCGATGTGGCGCAGGGGCGGACGAGTTTAGGCACCACGGTTTGGGGGCCGTCAACTACGTCACTCAGCGCTAAACAAATACATTTGTCGGCTCTTCTCCAAGGCTTCAATCCCGGTTCTCAAGGAACCATTCGGCATTTCTGCGCATGATGGTAGGCGCCCGGACGGATGCACACTAATACCTTGAAGAGCCGGCAGATGTTTGGCGTGGGATGTTACGGTCCCTGGCACCCTCGCCGAACGATACGTAAACCTGACAAGTAAAAAATACGGTTTGGCCGCGGCCAGGGCAGCGGACGAGAAAATGAAAAAATATGGGAACGCCCTCCCCTCGATGGAATTCTTGCCAATATGTATCGAGGTTCTCAGCCCGATGGACCCCAACACCCTTAAATTTCTTAAGGCAATATGTAAAATGATCAGCATCAGATCAGATGACAGCAGGGAACTGTTTTTCGCAACTAACCACATTTCGTGCTTGTTGCAGCGGTTCCTGCGTGTCTGTGTGCTTGAAAATATCCAACTGAATGCCGACATGTGCAATTAACGACAAATCAAAGTGTTAATCCATTTGTTACTTGATGTTTGACGGTTCAGTGTCACTCATAATGTTTTGGTTTTAACATGCATACATACATTCTGGTGTCATTCGTCAATGATTTGGTTTTAACATACATGCATACATACATACATACATACATACATACATACATACATACATACATACATACATACATACATACATACATACATACATACATACATACATACATACATACATACATACATACATACATACATACATACATACATACATACATACATACATACATACATACATACATACATACATACATACATACATACATACATACATACATACCCAATATTGAAAAAATACATACATGCATACATACACATGACGTATATATTGTATGTATCTACAATCGTAGTCTGAAATACAGACTATCATCCAAACTTTTGTCAAAAAAATGATAACAAATACTCTCAATCCCATGTGAAAAGTGTTGATAATATATAATTATAATATAATGCAATTGAATAAATAACTATCGTAATTACACAAACTAGTAATGTAATTGATTATTAAATTAGTATCATAATTACAGAAACTAGCATTACTATTACAAATATCTGCATGGTAAAGACTTAATCGATTATTCGGCCACTAAATGGATTATAAATTAAGTTACTTCATTGCTTAATATTGTTGTTAAAATTTATTTCTTCTTCTACGTTAATGTTTAATTAGGCGTACCTTTGTAGTATTTTTTTACGTTCCATAAGAGAGTAAGTTGAAATGTATGTGTTTCATTCATTCGTTCATTTATTCATTCTATCGTACATTCTATCGTACATTCATTCATTCATTCATTCGTTCGTTCGATCGTTCTTTCGTTCATTCATTCATTCACTCACTCCTTTTTTCGTCCATTCGTCTAATCAATCGATAAACAGTAAAATATAAAATAGAGCTTAAATTACACTACTGTTACTACAACTACTTTTACTACAACTACTGCTGCTGCTGATACTACTACTATAACTACTGCTACCACTACTACTACTACTAAAACTACTACTACTACCCCTACTATTAATAGCAATAACAATAATAATAATAATGACGTCATCATCGTCAATAATAAATGTTAATGCTATTTAATGTTGATGAGACATTAACTGTGTACTAGTGCTGATTGTTATTGCTGTTATTATTATAATTATTATTACTGTTATTGTAGTAGTAGTAGTAGTAGTAGTAGTATTAGTAGTAGTATTGGTATTATTATTATTAGTAGTAGTAGTAATGACGTCATCATCGTAGTAGTAGTAGTAGTAGTAGTTGTTGTTCTTTGTTTGTTTTTATTATTTACACTGTCAATAGTGGTGGCGATGGAAAAATTTAATTTAAAATAATTTTCCTGCTTAGTACAAGAACTCATTGTTTCTTGGCCACACACACACACACACACACACACACACACAACACACGCACACAACACACGCACACACACACTCATATTTATACAGTTGAGTGTCTTTGTTGTTGATGTAGTTGTTGTTGTTGTTTGTTGATGTTGTTGTTTGTGTTGATGTTGTTGTTGGTGTTGTTGTTGATGTTGC